CCATCCCCACGGGACCCCCTTGTCTTGAGGGCTCTGTGACCCCCCCAAACTCCCTGGGGTTCCCCCCATCCCCACGGGACCCCCTTGTCTTGAGGGCTCTGTGACCACCCCAAAGTCCGCGGGGTCCCCCCTACCCCGGAGTGTCTGAGACCCCCCCCGAATCCTATTGGGGACCCCTTAACAGGGGACTGTGACCTTCCCCATCCCCGCGGCTTTGCGGCCCCCCAAATTCCATGGGGTCCCCCTTATCCCAGGGGTTCTGTGACACCCCATCCACCCCTGGCACCGCTTTATTCTGGGGGCACTGCAACCCCACAAATTCCATGGGGTCCCTTATTCTGGGGGCTCTGCAGCCCCACAAATTCCATGGGGTCCCTTATTCTGGGGGCACTGCAACCCCACAAATTCCATGGGGTCCCTTGTCCTGGGGCTCTGCAGCCCCACAAATTCCATGGGGTCCCTTATTCTGGGGGCTCTGCAACCCCATAAATTCCATGGGGTCCCTTATTCTGGGGTTCTGCAGCCCCACAAACTCCGTGGGGTCCCTTGTCCTGGGGCTCTGCAGCCCCATAAATTCCATGGGTTCCCCCCTTTCCTGGGAGCCCTGTGACCCCCCCCAAGCTCCACGGGGACCCCCTTATCCTGAGAGCCGTGGGTCCCTCTGTGACACCCCCTCAAGCTTCACCGGGGTCCCCCTTTCAATCCCCTAAGCTGCAGGGGGGGTCTCACCATCCCGGGGGGAACAGGGACCCCACCTTGGTCCCCACAGTCTCCGCGGGGGTCCCCCTTTCCCTGGGGGTGCAGGGGGCAATGGCTTCCCCCATCCTGGGATCCAGGAGGCTCCAGCACCCCGACCCCAGGGGTTACCCCACAAATGAGGGGTTCCCGCAGCTCCCACCGCAGCCCCTCGGCAGCTCAGTGCACCCCACACAGCGGCTGGACAACGGGGGAGCCCCCCACGCTTTATTGGGGAGTTCTGGGGGGCACGGGGGGGCAGCCCCTCACTCCTTGCTGTTGCACCACTTGGCCGTGCGCCAGAAAATCGGGGTTTTCATGAAGCGCCCCGAGCGCATGTAGGCAGAGACCTTGTCCAGGGCCTGGGGGAACAGGGACACGTGGGGACATGGATGGGGACACCCCGGGGTCAGGGATGGGAACACTGGGGTGCCTGGGATGGGCACAGGGACACCAGGGTGTTGGGACAGGGTCATTGGGGTGTTTGGGACAGGGACACCAGGGTGTTGGGACAGGGTCATTGGGGTGTTTGGGACAGGGACACCAGGGTGTTGGGACAGGGACATTGGGGTGTTCAGTACAGGGACATTGGGGTGTTTGGGACAGGGACATTGGGGTTTTTGGGACAGGGACACCGGGGTGTTTGGGACAGGGTCATTGGGGTGTTTGGGACAGGGACATTGGGGTGTTTGGGACAGGGACATTGGGGTGTTTGGGACAGGGACATTGGGGTGTTCAGTACAGGGACATTGGGGTGTTGGGACAGGGACACTGGGGTGTTGGGACAGGGATGGCAACAGCAGGGGCTCAGGGATGGGGACAGAGATGGACCCTGGGGTGTCAGGAATTGGGACGGGGACATTGGAGAGTCAGGAATGGGATGGGGACATTGGGATGTCAGTGATGGGGACACCAGGGTGTTAGGGACAGGGACTGGGACACCGGGGGGTCAGGGATGGGGTCATAGAGGTGACAGGAATGGGGACGGAGACAGAAGCACTGGGCATTGAAGGATGAGGTTTGGGATGGGACAGGGACACAGCCACTGGGGTGTCAGGGATGGAGATGGTGCCGGGGACACTGGGGTGTCAGGGATGGTGATGGACACGGCGGGGGACACTGGGGTGTCAGGGATGGAGATGGGATGGAGATGGTGCTGGGGACACTGGGGTGTCAGGGATGGAGATGGTGCTGGGGACACTGGGGTGTCAGGGATGGAGATGGGATGGAGATGGTGCTGGGGACACTGGGGTGTCAGGGATGGAGATGGTGCTGGGGACACTGGGGTGTCAGGGATGGAGATGGGATGGAGATGGTGCTGGGGACACCGGGGCTGCCCCGTGCCCCTGCTCACCTCGAAGCGCTGCAGGAACTGGGCCAGGTTTCCCTTCAGCTCGGGACACTCGGGCACGAACATGCGCTGCTGGTCCAGCACGTCGTACGCCAGGAAGTCCACGTAGGTGATCTGGGGGAGGGGCAGGGGGGTCAGCCCCCACAGGGACTCCCCAAACCCCCCCAGCATCCCCCACCTACCTTCTGCCCCGCAAACCAGGGCCGGGAGCCCAGGAACCGAGACAGCTCCTGCAGCTTCTTGGGCAGCTGCTCCAGGTAGGCCGGCTTCAGCTTCTCCTGCACGGCGGGAGGGGCACAGGGGCTCAGGGGGGCTGCTCCCCCCGGCCACCCCAGAACCCCGGGGCATCACCCCCCGACTGCAGCCAGCCAAGGGATGTGCCCCAGCACACACCCCCGGGCTGCTGGTGGCCCGACCCCCTTGTCCCATGTTGGGGGACAACCCCGGGGGCTGGGGGGGATCTGTCCCTCCCAGGGGGATAACCCCAGGGTCTGGAGAGGATCTGTCCCTCCCAGGGGGATAACCCCAGGGTCTGGAGAGGATCTGTCCCTCCCAGAGGGATAACCCCAGGGTCTGGAGAGGATCTGTCCCTCCCAGAGGGATAACCCCAGGGTTTGGAGAGGATCTGTCCCTCCCAGGGGGATAACCCCAGGGTCTGGGGGGATCTGTCCCCACCAGGGGGATAACCCCAGGGTCTGGGGGGATAACCCCAGGGTCTGGGGGAGATCTGTCCCTCCCAGGGGGACAACCCCAGGGTCTGGGGGGGATCCGTCCCCCCGTAACCCCCACGGGGCTCCTCACAAAGTCAGGGCTGTAGCAGATCCGGGCAAAGTTCATCCTCAAATCCATGAGCTGGTTTTCCAGCAGGTCTATGCGCTGCTTCTCCTCCTCCGTCTCGCCACCTGCGGGGTGGGGAGGTGTCAACCCACGCCCCACAAAACCGCGGGGACCCCCCCGTGCGCTGGGACCCCCCACTCACACATGTTGTGCTTGCGGGCGATGTAGCGCAGGATGGCGTTGCTCTGGGTCAGCTTGGTGGAGCCGTCGATGAGGTACGGGAGCTGGGGGGTGCCGGGGGTCCGAGTCACCCCGGTGACCCCCACATCCCCTTCCCACCCCCTCCCCATCACCTACGT